AATGTAAAAAAAATGAACTTAAATATGCATAATAATGAAATCTGTAAGTTCCACTTTTTCAATGAAAAAATAATATGAAATTTCAGTAAATGAAATATACATTGTGTAATTATAATTTCATTTTCCTAATATTAAAATAAACATCTTCGGTAAGGGTTTAGCCAACATAAATATTCCAGAATAATTTACCTACATTCCTTCTGATTTAATTGTTGCTAGTATCTTTTCAAACATTTGACACCGAATTTGCTAACTTTCGATCTAAATAATGCCACTATTTGCGAAGTATGTGAAGTATTCGGAATAACAAAGTTATTTTTTCTGTCTCTACTGGTTTCAACACAAGCGAAACACTGCTCTCACTAATATTCCATTAGTTATAACAGCATTGTATTGTATTTTATTTAATATTTTATACATTTAATAGGCAAATATTAGTGTACAAAATATTTTCATACTTCGAACATGAAAGTTCGAATTTGAAGAATTTAATGATTTTATAATTCAAAGTATAATGAGTTCTAACAAACTTTCAGTCTACGTGAGGACTTGATCATTTCAGAATTTCTTTATTTTGTATTCAGCCAAACACTAAATGAAGAAACTATTTAGTACGCGCTTGTTCTCTTTCTCGTAGCCTTTGTGAAAGCGTAAATTTAAATACCAGCAAGAGATCACGGCCAAGTTCCAATGGTGGTTCATGCAGCGAGACAGAAAAAGACCTGTCATGAGGAAATTACTACAACTGGGAAAGGGAAATTTAGTACTCAGCGATATCTCTCGTAATTAATCGCATATACTACATAAATGAACTGTTTGTTTTAGGGTCCAAAATATTTCTTGGCATTTTGTATGAGGTGTTAATTGCTTCTGGCTTTTCACCCTAAACATTAGTTTTTCAAGAACTACTCTTTAATTTTCGGGGTCAATATTGTCCAGAGCGTACTAAATGCGTACTTCACGAAATGCTATGTAAATCATTCGATAAGCAACTGCGGTTGTGAGACATTTTTTATGATAACGGTGTCTACAAAAGTTTTAATTGTCGTGAAGATATTATAATGACGTCAAAAGATAATGGAATTATACAAAACTTTATAAAATGTAGACGGGATATTCCATATTTCTCGACAGAAAGAAAGACACTAATTATATTATTAAATTTTATAAGAATTTGTCGTGGCAGAGAGATTTCATGTCTATTCTATTGAAAAGTGAAAATTGTGTGGCAGTCTGATTCCGACAAAAGAAAGCAACCTCTCTAATAACACAGAGGCCAAATAGGTAGGGACTCTAAAAGGACACATTCACATCTTTCGCAAACGCTCTGGAAATTAACATGGAATATTTATCGTACACTGGTGATCACATTCATATTTATACATTAAATAATACAACTGAGCTCTTTTAAATGCAAATTCTGTTTCATATCCTTTTGCGCCAATAAATAACAACTTTATATATCGTTGCAAATCATTGAAGATTTCCCGAGCAGATGAGGGTACGTGGAGGCGCGGTGATGGTATCGCGAAAACAGACGCGTATGCCATATCGGAGAACTACCAGTACGTAATGAGTATTTAGAGAATACGGCAGAGCAACGCCAGTGCCGCAGTTCAGGAATACGTGAAAATATTCCAGAATCGAAAGGACTCTGCACGCCGTGTATTCCTCTGCCTACAATTCGCATAGCGGGAATCGCCGAAGATTGATTAATTGAATAAATTTATTTTTGAGCGCTTCGACTGCTGGGGTCATTAGTTCTGTAGGTGTAGTTCATATCCCAAGCGCTGGTGGTGTTTTCCCCCCCTGGAACATGAAATACTACACGTCAGTTTGCGGGATTCCTTCTCCAGGTATCTTCTCCAGCGAGGTGCAGACCCAGCCGCGACAAAGTCTTATCTCCCGACATGTGTGGTGGCGTTGTACATGAAAGTGCGCATGTGTGTGTGTTTTGTAAGAGGAGAGAGGGAACAAGGATGAGGAAGAAAATATCGCGCGCGGAAAGTGGCCCTTTTGATAAGGTACTATTCTGGTATTCGCTTGGTATTGATCGGAAAAATCACGGGAAATTATCGATTAGAGGAGCCGTTACAATTTTTCTCCAGAAAGCGAATGAATTTAAAATAGCGATATTCTAACGAGTGCCGAAACTTCGAGCCTCACCACCGTCGAAACTCACCACCTAGGACCTCCCGATCAGAAACGCTGCAATGGCAACAGCTATTATCTGGAAGCATCTCTACCGATTTCGCACCGAAGAGTTGACGTGGGTACCGTATTACTATGGGTTCCGTTTTATGAGACGTCACCAACTAACACCTCGAGGCAGTCGCGCGAGTTCATGCGGCTGTCGCTAAATTGAATGCCAGCATTTTGGGAAGTATGCAGAACAAAATTGTGGCCCGTGTCCACACATGTTGCCAGTATGTAAACAATTTGGAAAATATTCCTCATTTTCTGTAACTTGGTTGTTTAAGTGGGTGGTATAAAAGTGTTGCGTCTTATACCTATTCTGTGCTACTGTTATTTTAATTGCAGCACAGGGCTATTCCTCTCCCAATCTCCCGTCCACGGGCGGCTACCGCACACCGGCTGTTCCAACCTTGCAAGAGGCTGAGGTTAGAGCGGCTGTTTGCAACCGGTGCGGTAAAATAGAAGGAAGCAAAAAAGACAGCATATCCTCCCTGCTTAGTTGGTGACAAATACAGTGCAAAACGTGATCGTAACTTTACAACTTTAGAAGTTAAATGATTTTACTGTGAAACATTGAATGCAATATGTGTTAAGCATAAAATTTAATAGATTATTAAATTTAGTGAATAGTATAGGAAAGAAAATCTCCATAACTAACGTCATACCTAACTATGAAATAAAATGCGACAAAAGCGAGCAGACTAGATGCAGAAGGTAATCGTACAGTCGATTGATTAGTGATTCCGAGCGCGTCAACGGCTAAGGTCATTACTCCCGTAAGTGTAGTATACGCGGGAGGTGGCTGTGATCTTCCCCCGCTGGATGGCGATATCCGATACCGATCTACCTGTCAGGTCGCAATTTTTTGTAAGATCCCGACTAGTTTGCTGGCATGTGTAGTAATGTATTTCGTGTAACTGTGTGAGTGTGTATGTGTATGTACGTAAGAGGCGAAGATGACGAGGAGGAGGAAGAAAGATAGCGCGCGGTCCGTGGCCCGTTTGTTAGGGTACTGCTCCGGCATTCGCCTGGTGTTGATCGGATTAATCGCGGAAAATTCTTCTCCAAACAGTGTCTGAATTCGACCTAGCTATGATGTTAGTGTCGAAAATCCTGCCACCATTGGAATTACCCTTCAATAGTGCGATAATATGGCACTTTTAGGTTATGCTGCGAAAGTATCAGGTGCAAAAAGATTCTACAACATACTGTACGCTGTTACACACTTGTGAAACCCCGTGATATTTGAAACAGTGGGACCTAAACCCTTAACATTCTGTTTTCGTTCTCCTATTAACACCGGTGTTTTTGTATGCCCTAATCTACAAAATTAATCAGTTTTGGACATTTTTCCTGAGAAAACTATTTTGAAGGTTTAAAATTGTTGAGTATACTCACTCCGTTACCCAGATGGTCACAAATGTGCAGAATCTTGAAAACTAAGTAAAATTAAATTGACCATTTGATACTCTGCAAATTTACCACACGGATTCAAGTTTTTCTGTTTAATAAAAAACGCTTAGAAATATTAGAATGTTTACCCACGCAAAGAAATACAAGTGGTCATCTTAGCATTTTTTAATTATATCAACGAAAACTGAGAAAAGCTGTCACCACATAACTAACTTAGCTATTTAATCCCACAGCTTGAGGGCACATGGAATGTATTCTCAATGTTCATTGATTGCGAAAACTACTCATATTTTGAGAAAAGTGTACATGAAATTATTTTAAAAATTGTTAATATTGATTTCATTAAGGAGGAAAACTTTAGCTTCAGTATTGAAGATGTAGTACTTGTTCGAAAAATATTTGCAAAGAAACATCCGTCATACTGGCAACAGTAACGCTCTTGCGGTCAAAGTAAATATCACATGACACTCAAGAGAGCGTCCGTTTGCGCCCTTTATGGACAATATATTAGAACAAGCAGTAATTCAAATTATAGTTGGAGTGGCCAATCAGTGTACTGTTTACCCTACTTATATTTAGGGAAAAAATACGTACATGACATTTAAAGTTCTAACTTTGAAGAACACATTTCATTGCGAAAGAGATGTACCTTCAATAATATATGTAGTTGTAGGAGTGGGTCCAAAATTATTGTAGGTGTCAAGTCGTTGAAAAACCAATTGTGGTACTAAAAACCTCTAACTTCAATGCTGTAGTTGTAGGAGGACGTCAAAAACATTTTGAAGTTTTACAATTTTCGAAATTTCACAGATTTCAACGAAAATGAGGCCCGGGACATCTTTATGCGGCCCATGCGCTATCTGAGAAAAAAATTTATTAAAAATATTTCAAGTAACTTTTGATAAAATTTTTAAAATGTTGTTCAAGGTTTATGTAAAGTACTCCCAAAATATAATCATCCGTTCTAACCTTGCAGAGCGTCCAGATGGATCGGGGAGTGTTAATTTTTAATAAAATAGTTTGAATACTTTGGGCACTAGCGTTGACCACAAATAGACTGACAGTCTTTCTCTCTGGGCTCTAGCGTTGACGACAGTCAGTCAGACAGATAGTCTGAATGTGTATTTGTCAGTATGAGTCTGTCAGTCTTTCAGACAGTGAGACAGTCAGACAGACAGACGGACAGGGACTAACGCTAGTGTTGACATACAGATAGACCGTTACATAGTCACACAGAAGTTTCGCCGTCAAAGAGGGCCCAGAAATGTAATTGCTCCCGTTGCCTTAGGTGGCGCATGCCAAGGTCTACCTACGCCCTTCTCTGAGCGCGACGGTGTGTGTTGGTTGCAGAGCGAGGCGCAGGGGAACGGGGGAAGCAGAGGGAGCGTGCCATGGCGCTGGCGTTGCGCCCTTGCAGCGCGCCCTGCGCCCTGTCCGCCCTCTTCCTGGCGCTGGTGGGCTGGCTGGGCTCGCACCCGGGCCCGCCGCCGGCGCACTGCCCCCTCGACAGGCAGTACGACTTCATCGTGGTGGGCGCCGGCTCCGCGGGCTGCGTCGTCGCCAGCAGGCTCAGCGAGGTCGCCCATTGGAAGGTGACCGTCAGGCCACGCACTTGCCTTGTGGGCCCAGGGCGCGTACGCGCTGGCGTTGTGCTTTTAACAGCTACGTTACTACTTCTTACCGGTAAATAACTCAAAACCGTTAGGTGGAAAGACAGTTATTTTGTATGCACTGTTGTTAGCTGTTGTCGGTTACAATGCCCGTACTGTAACCTTCTGCGTAAAATTTAAACTATGCAATCGCAATATTAATTGTTTGTACGATAATTGTTTCTATTGGTAGTCATTTGATTGTTAAATTACTGTGCAGTCAATCACATCTAGATCACCTGGTGTTAAGCTTTGCCACAAACTCCAGTTAAATGGTCAGCGATTTTGTAAACGGTAGATGAATAGAGCGCATATTATTTACAGAGATGTATGATTTCAAAGAATTAGTCAAATCATGATACTTCACCCTCGATACTTCCATTCTGGTTTAAATAGGGGTATTCACTCGATCAGCGCAGTCGCGCTTTTGTGGAGCGAGAGGCCCTCTGCATGTAATGTCTGTGTCGGGTGTGTCCAGGTTTGCAACCCCGGAATCTGAATTGAATGTGGTGCCACAGTGAGCGCAGGTACGCTTCAGTGGTTGGTGCTTCACTTGTCAGTGCATTGAAACCTTGTGGATTCGTTAGCGGAGGTGTGTCCAGATATTAAGGATTTAAGTCAATACGTCTGTTTTATATGCAATCCACTCTGTGCGTAGTTTAGCCAGGTTTATAATCTACGTTTTCATATGTGCTTTAACCTTCTCAGAGCAGACCATAACCAAAAAATGTAGTACCCATAACGGTAAATATTTCTAACATGCAAGACAATGATAGGCATGGAGTGCCCATCACTGTAACTTGAGGAACTTATTTTTTATGCATTGCTGTAATGTTAATACTGAATTTTCGAACCTTGTTTACCTTGTTATGTGAAAATATATATATTTAGAACGATTTCGAACAGTGATGGGCAGTGTGCCCATCAATGAAAATATAAACATGCCCATGGGTTGAAGGGGAAAAAATGTAAGGTAGTTTTGTCAGTAGAACACGAGAGCAATAATCACAATATCACTACAACTGTAAAAAAAGTGTTATTTGAAAATAGCACTGAAGAAATAGACAAGCAGAATGATAAGTTGAAAACGCACCTTCTAGAGGAAACTAGTAATCGGGCTAATCTGAGGAAAACAAATGTCAATTCTGCACAAAGAATTACATATTCATCCATTAAGGGTTTAACACACACTTATAGGAAGTGAAAGAAATAAGGGCATTTGTCAGCCGAGCACTTCTATAGGTATTTTCAAGATGGAAAGAAGCAGTAGCAAGTCTCTTTCCTCCAGAAGTCTAAGGAAGTATTTCTTCAGGGCTGCTTCCAGTGTCGAAACACTTTGAATTTTAAGAACTACGGTGTAATATGCCAATTATGTCAAAAGGTATTTTGCAAATCACGCCCATCCTCAGAAGATTCTGCAGAGGAAAGTAATTCAGGCAGCGATAATATTTTTTGTATAAAATGTTTAGACTTATTAAATGACTGACGCTTAATAAACCAGTAGTAACAAGCTAATTGCGTTCAACATTGCTGTTTGACTTCGTTGGGCTTTTTACAATCCATTTTTCTGATTGTCCATCGCTACATTACAAAGTGCTCACGATAGTCTCGAAAGTGCCCATCACTACATAGTATATTTTCAGCTTTATTTTAGTTTCATATTTTATAAAATGTGAAGTATAATGTTCAACTATTTAACTTAATAGCCTGATGTGTAGTAATTCGTTTGTCAACTATGAGTTTTCTATTGTTAAAACAAACAATTATACATTGATTAAAACATATTGGTTGCACTTAAAGTGCTCATCATAGTGTGCCCTACCCTACTTAAGAAAAGTTCAAAAGTTTTCTTGAACTCTTTGGGGAATGTAGATATTCAAATAAGCGTTCTCCGTATCCTCGCGGGAGTTAATATTCCGTCACGAAAAGCACGATAAGGATAATAGCCAAAATCTTTAACTGAATGTCTTTACAAATAACTTTTATTATCCAGTAGATCATACCAATTCTTGTCTAAAACGCTCGTTGCTACTTGTATTGATTTTCCAACCTAATAGTACGTATTATGTGAGTTAGGATAGAAATCATAGTGCTAAAAAAATGTACAAATTGTATTTATCCCCGTAGTAAGTCACGCAACAGTTTTTAACTGCCTTTTGACTTCAAGTAAATAAATAAATAAATAATTTTGATACGAAGGCGGATACTAAGTCTAGAATACCAACTATACGTATTTTTTATGCACTCGACCAATTTATCAATAGTCCTTATCTGAGCTGGAGAGTGCTTTCTCCAGTCATTGTTGAGTCAGATTACAGTCGAGACTGGTGTTACTTTTGCTTTATTTGGCTGCAATACAGTATATCGGTGAGTTCTCTACGTCTGATTTACGAATAGTTAGTGCTAATATACGAGTATGTACACGGGAGTGTACCAGTTAGATGCTGTAGAACGTACGTAGAATAGCATCAACGGGAGTTTTGTGGCGATAAATACAGAGCAACAATGTCCTGGGGACTGTCTATGTTTTTAACATGGTATGTTAAAAATTATATATGTTAAAAATAGTATTGCAGGGTTTATGAGGCAATTTACGAGCATCATCAATTATTTTACATCAATTATTCAAATAATGAACAATTAATTATTCAAACCGGTCTAATATGTTCTCGACAAATTCTTGTAACGTTCCTTATTTGCAAATACAATTTTAATATAAACATAACCTTACAGGATATGATATTCTTTCACTTAAAAATTTTAAAACACTTCTATGTAAATTTTACGTAGAGTTAGTATTTAGTATAGGTAGGAATGCATTAATATGCTAGGATTATAGTGCGAGATGCGGCAGATTTTAGTTCCTTATCATTGGTACTTCCAAAGGACATTTTGCCTGCGGTATGTGAAACTTTGAGGCAATGTCTACTATAGTCTGTTTTAAAAAATAAATATCACTATTGTTTTCACCACGTCCTATCATGTTGTCATAAACGAATCGCTGGCGTAGAAATTTGATTTGCTACTTTTCGTAAAAAAATTAAAAATGTAAACGGCGCGTATGTACCTAATGTGTGTATGTGATAGCGAGGGAAAAACGAGTAACGCGAATTTCGCTGGAAATGCGTTGGCCATTTTTCCCCCCGAACCGCAAATGCCCTAGGTAGGTTGATTGAATGATAATTTTGTTTCCTGTACATCTACTGCTGTGGACATTAGTTCTGTAAGTGTGGTACATATTATATCGCGGGAGATAGCTGTATCCTCCCCCGCTAGAACAATGTGGTGGTAGTACACAATGATTGGTTTGTTTTGTTTTGTTTCCCTACTCTAGGTATCTCCGTCAGGACGACACCGATCCAGCCGGGACAAGCTCAATGCTCCTGTTTGGTTTCCCGATTTGTGTAGTAGTGTAGTGTATGTATGTGTGTGTGTGTGTGTGTGTGTGTGTGAGGGGATTGTGAGGAGACAAGGCGACAAGGCTGATAAAGGAAAGATAGCGCGCGGGCCATAGCACGTTTGTTAAGGTACCGCTTCGGCATCTAGCTGGTATTGATAGGCGAAACCAACGAAAACTAGAATTCTACCAGCCACTAGAATTCTCCTCCTGACAAGGGATTGATTCGACTAGCTACGTAGTTGGTTAGTATCCGCCCGTCAGGAGCGGAACTTTTGTCTCTCGTCGAGCACAACTCAAGCCGCGGCCGTCTCGGTGCAACAGCCGCGGAGAGGGGCGGCGCAAGCCGCGCCAGAAGTGCAAGTGCAAAGTGCGTGGGTTGTGCAGGTGCTGGTGCGGAGGCGGGCGGCGAGGCGGCGCGTGGGCGCAGGTGCCGGGCTTTCGCGGCGCGCGCCGCCGCCGCGCACCTCAGCGCCCCCACTGGGGCTTCCGCGTGAGCCGGGCCCTTCGCCGGGGGGCGGCTGCGCGTGGCTCGCCGGCAAGGGGCTGGGCGGCACGGGCCGCGCTCGACGCCATGCAGGTGAGCACAGGTGCCCACTAACCATCATCATCCATAAAATAATAAAAATTATTAATAATAATAATAATGAATAATAATAATAATAATAATAATAATAATAATAATAATAATAATCATAATAATAATAATAATAACAAAGACGACGATATCAACGTCCAGACTTTATGGAAAATGACTTCTTACTTCAAATACGTTCACAATTATATCCAAAATTTGTACTGTGATTACTAAGATGCTAAATTTTGCCCAAATTTTGTTCCTTTAACTAAGTCCTGTACAACGCCTGCTTCTGCGGGCATTCTGTACTCTATAGCAAAACGTCTGCTCCCGTGAGCAAAGCAAGTACAAGTACTGGGGGTTGGTAGCTTTGCGGGTAGGGAAGTTTGAACAGTACGTAACAGTCCGTCGTGTTATCGTCGATTTCTCTTTCAATTTACGTGCTACTGTTCAAATTGCGCATTCTCATTGGTGGTCCCCACTCCTAGAATAAGCGTCATCCGCACACTTCCTCACTGCACTTGACCGGTTTGCGCGCGGGTCCCGAGGTCAGTGAATGTGCAAAATGGCGTACAGGCCTGCCATAATTAAATATTATGATTTATTCACAAACATTACACTTCACAAGAAAGATTCCAGTATAGAAATTAATTAATATAAAAATATTTCCAGGTTCAAAGTTTAAAGAGAAGACAATACAAATTTAAACCGGTTTGGATCTTTTAAAAAACAAACGTGGAGCACTTGCTAGACGCTCCTATATGCTCGTCTTCGTAAACAAAATGTATGAAATCAGACACCGATAAAATTATTAGCATTGCCATTTAAGAATTACAAAATTTAAACTATTTGTGTTTTCTCCTTTGAATGATGGATTTAGTTAAAATATCTCTAATTTATGTAATTCGTTCTCCTCGAATGTCATGTTGACGAGTAATGTTAAAACTGTGCAGGTGGTGCGTGGCAATTCCAAGAACTTCGACGATTGGGAAAAGCTGGTAGGCGAGGAGTGGAGCTACGAGAACCTCTTGCATTACTTCAAGAAATCCGAAAACAATCTCGATGAGGAGGCGGGCGACTGGCGCTTTCACGCGACCGGCGGCCCGCAGACGGTGCAGCGCCTCCCGCACCGGGACGCCAACGTGCAGGTGCTGCAAGCCGCCTTCGAGGAGATCGGCTTCCGCGCGGTGGACCTCAACGGCTACAACTCGGAGGGAGTAATGATTTCGCAGGCGTTTGCGTACGAAGGGCGCCGCATTACGTCATACGACGCGTATTTGCGGAAGCCAAGAGAGGAGCGATCCAACTTGCACGTGCACACGCACGCCCACGTGACGCGAGTCCTCGTCGATCCAACATACAAACAGGCCAAAGGAGTGCAGTTTATCAACAGACAAGGAAGGCTCGTCACGATATTTTCGCAGCGCGAAGTCATTCTTTGTGCTGGAGCGATTAACACCCCCAAAATTCTGTTCTTGTCGGGGATCGGTCCAGGAGATGTTCTGGGACCTCTGAGCATCCCACAGATCGCAGATCTGCCAGTTGGTCGTAATCTACACGACCACGTGAGCCAAGACGGTTTGATTATCCAGTTCACGAAAACCGCCCAATTGCCGAACGAAACGATGCGGATTTCTCATTTGTCGGAGTACTTGCTTCGTCAACGCGGTCCGCTCGCGGCCACTGGCCCCCAGCAACTTGTGACCTTATGGTACTCACGGTATGCAGACGGCGCCGCGGACGTCATGTTCACGTTTCGTCCCATGCCCTGCCTGGGTGATGTTCTGCCTTATTACAACGAAGTAATCGTCGACACACTGCTGCTGAATCCCAAAAGCCGTGGTATGATCAGCATCAACAGGTAAACACATTTACCTTTTTATGTATTAGTTACAGGGCAAACGGATCTTTTATGTATGCTATTTACTGAATGTCGTGTGAACTTGTCATGTCACCGTTGTCTCTGCCGCATCGTTGACCGTGAGATCTTCGGGTTCGGGTTCGGGTTCGAGTCTCAATGATGGTGGATTTTTGACATTAGCTTCATAAGTCTAATGAATTCAATCCCTTCCCTGGAGGAGAATTCTAGCGGCCGGCTTATCTGATCGATAATTTTCCACGGTTTCTTCCATCAATACCAGGCGAATGCCGACACAATGGGTCACGGAATCTCGATCTTTCCTTTTTCATCCTTGTCCCCTCCCTCCCCTTACACACACACACATATGCTACACTACCCCACATCGGAGCATAGAACGTGATCCTTCTGGGACGGTACGTGAAGGGGCTGGTATCTGGAGGAAGGAAACCCCGTTAGCCAAAGTATAGACGGCGCTGGATTACACGTTTAGCTGGGGGGACGAGACTCACCTCCCGGGAACGGAACAAATGACTTAAATCAGGAGTTTTATTCCATTTTCGACTGTGGGATAAATTTTCAAAGCAACAGATCCAGGGCCATCAAAAATTATTAAAAATTAATATAGCAATTTTCAAATTTTGCATATTCTATTTGCAACACAAATATAATGAATTTTTTTGTATATGCGTAATATATGAGGATTTAAAATTAATGTGATTTTTCTAACTGGTTTTTAGTATTTACTTCTTGTACATTCGTTTAAAATGTAGTTGTTCTGGATCAGACTAACTTTAACGATGACTTCAAATGCTAACTTCTCAATGAAGTGTGAAATTTAGATTTTATAACTCTATCACAAATATTTTTTTCACGCAAATATGTTGACGCCAAAAGACCAAACATACCACGCAAAACTATTCACATTTTTGAAATTCTGATTAGTCAGCGTTTTGAAATTAAAAAGGTTTTCTTCCTTGATAGAGTCTGTATACATTTCATTTGAAGAAAGATACATCACAGTCAATAGAAAATCGGGCAGAAAATCTTGACTATAACAATTGAATGGGATTCGTCACAATTTAAAGTTGAATTACTAATAACATCGTCAAATCTTGTCCGGCAAATTTGTTCAACAACTTTGAAAACACACGTTTTAAGCAAATATCCATCTGTTCATAGTTTTCCATCTTACGTTGTTTTTTAGCAACATCGAAATTTACTCACCCGAAAGCTTTATTTTTTTAGCTTCTCAATGAAATAATAGTGAGTATCCAGACCCATCTTCAATGAATCTACTTCATGTAGAAGTATTTGTTCACTAAATTCCAACTAGTGTCGGGCAGTACTTAACTACAAGTATTTGAAATACATATTTTAAATATATCTTGTATTTAAAAAAACTGTATTTTTGAGTTCGCTGGGCATGTATTTTGGAGATATATTTAAATACACAAAATGAGTGCATTTAAAAAAAGAAATACTTAAAATACATTAAATACAGATGAAGAAAATAACGAGGATAGTTTTTCGTTTGATTTCGCTAATGAATGCCTAATAATTTGTTTGAAAAATTAGTCGTTTTAAAAAAGGAAATTCCATTTATTTACGTTAAACATATTTTTAGATTATTTCATATTTAAAAGTGGTTTATACATACTTGTATATTGAAGTCAGATATTAGTCAAGAATTTGTATGACTGTCAATTACTAATGTATTGAAATTGACAGAAACAATAATTGTTGTAATAAACAAGATATAATACAAAATTATTGTACTTACTGCATTTGGAGTACCTGACGTATTTTAAATACGTACGTATTTAGCAAATCAAACATAATGTATTTTGAGTATGTATTAAATACTTATTTATAAAGTATTATGGCGAAGTATCACTAAATTTAAAGTATTTTGCCCAACCCTAATCCCAAATTCAGTCGTAAAAGTCAATGAAATGGTTAGGGGGAAGTGTCGAGAGCGGCGTAATCTCGCAACAAATGAATCGAATTTATTATTTATTTTGAATTGATACTTATAAAATATCCAGAATTTTGGACTTGCTAGCTGAACCAGTTTAAATTACCACGCGGGTCGTCTAATGAAAAGCCTTGATGTTGAGTTGTTGACACTCCCGGAATCAATTCTCATTCACTCTCTCTCTCTCTTTCTTTCTCTTTTTCATTCTCTCTTCCTCATTCTTTCTGTCTCTTTATCGGTACCTCTTTCTCTACCAGTGGTGTCTGAAAAATGTACCAAACAATGAAATCGAAACACCACAATACGGATTTGATTTCCATCTAATAAATTTCAACTATTGGCCTACAATAGAAAAAAATGTATAAAAAATGAGGTCCTGGAGCAACTAAAATTGGCTGTCCTGAAACAGAATACATGAATACTGAAGCTTCATTTTCCTTCATCGCATGACGGCAGCTATGTGGTAAGCAGTGACGCAAATTAGTATGCTATGGATTTGTTATTTCTGGACATAGTCTCTTTCAAATATAATACACATACATTCATATAGCAAACAGATTTTTATACCTACCTACGTTCACAAATTCAGCCATTTAGGCAATGGGTTTACATAACTGGCCATGTGGATAATCTAACAAAGGCTAATCTAGCAGCCATCTGAACTACAACCATTCCTAGCTTTCGTGGCGGAACCTAGCTGCAGAGAGCTAAACCACTCGCCATTTGAAAAGTATTTAGTGTTATTAACATATTTCTGCTATTAAAAATGTAATAAAATATTACATGAAGTTAGAACGCTCCCCTTATCCTGCTTCCAATGAACGCTCATTTATGCCATTCTGGTTATATACTTTTCTCAAGATAAGGAAACTATTTTGTGCTGCAGAATGGCACAGACTTTCTCCTACAAGTTAGTTTCCTAATTTCTTTAGTTTGATCTAGCTTTTCGGTCTTGCCACATGCCATCTAGCCCTTCGGTCTTGCCAGTTGCCATCTATAGCCACCCAAACTACGCTTTTTTTCACATGTTCTCAATTTTTCGGTATCCTAAAGGTATAATCGATATATTACTTTAACAATATTTAAGAAGAGTAAAATCTCGTTCTATATGGCAATTTTCATTGAAAAATTTGGAGCTGTTTCTAAATGGCGTTTAAGAGTTACTGTAAATGCGAAATTTGAAGCTCTTTTTCAAAGAAAATGTTTGAGAATTTTAAAAACAATACTCTTTTTACATGACACTTCAGAATTAATCTTCATATCCGTTTATTAATGTAGCATATTTGTTATTACAAGTATATTTCACGTACGTCATTCATTTTTTAAAGATATGAAAGAATATTATTTCTAAATATTCAAGCCGAGGAAAGGAAATACTAGAAAATATTCTTCCTTTGTCCAAAATATTGAAAGAAATTGGTGGCTCCTATCCCTTAGACCCCATTTAGGCAACCGTTTGACGTGGCTCTACGTCCAATAAAACTTTAATGAAGTCTTCGAAGAACCGGCATTTTCTTAGAGAAGCGTTGTGTGTGGATTCCAGGTAAACCAGTTAGTCGGACACAAATAAGTAATAAGACATTGGAAAGTGCTCGGGACTTCCAAGACCATAACCTCTTTGAAGCGCGCACCTTGCCAACTCACCGTATGACATTTAAAAGTACAATTTTAGTAGTTGTCCTTTACCTGGGGAAAAACAATGTTTCCCATTCTGAATGCAATTGATGTAATATTTTTGCTTGAACTCGCTATCATTAGCACAAATCTAGCTTCCTATCAATGAGTAAATAAAACTATCCATATTAGCAAATGTCAAATAGACTCACCAAAAACAAAAGTGCACAACCTCACGCTCATACAATCAAATCAAATTACCAGTAAGAATTGCGCAAGAAATGCAAACAGCTGATTTCATAAATTACACAGGCACCCAAAAAATTTAAGTCAGACCCAAATAGTTGAAACATGTTTCTCTATATAAGTCGACGCGCTGAACCTGAAGCCAGAATGGCGTCACCACCCTCCAGTTCCTTTTAAATCGCGAAAAAACACCGTGAAATTTTAAATTGTAAATTTCACGGTTGATTTTCGCGATTTAAAAAACACTAGAAGGTGGTGGCGCAAATCTTGCTTTGGATTCAGCGCGTTGACGTTCGGATTCTGTGATTGTAGAGAAACACGTGTCAAGTCTTGCATCTCACAACGTTTGGTTTCTGTAGAGTATAATGCTACAAGACACCAAAATCTAGTATTTGCATTTTTTTTCACGATTAAAAAAAACTGGAGGGTGGTGGTGTAATTCTGGCATCGGATTCGGACTCGACATACGTAAAGAAACATGTGTTACAGCTTTGGTTCTGATAACTTTTTTTATTTCTTATGTCTGTTTTATCTATCTGAACCCAGTGGAGCAAATCTAGATTAGCCAATCTACCCGCGACACTGCGATCCATAGAAAATTTCTCTGCCAGCTATTAGTATCTGTAGCTATTAGAACAGAGAAGAATGCTGTTGGAACGAATGTTGAAACGCTGTTGAAAGAATGAAGGTGAATTTATTTCATTCCCTTGTCATTATTTTCTACGTTAAAGCACGAATTTTCAATAAATTGATTGATTGATTACTTCGTGTTTCTGGGGATTTTTTACAAAATTGATATTCCACAAACCTTCTGAACGAGCTTAAGGCTCTCCGAGTTTGAAAATAATATTTTGATTTCCAGCCTCAACAATTCCAAAATTTCCCACAAAATGACTCAACCTTATGCTCCTAAAGAACGCTTAAAAATGCAAGTGCAGGTCTTATTATCGCTGATCTCTATGAATTTTCGAAAATTGCAAACGTTAGAATTAATGCCAGACTGTAGTAGGCCTATGTGTCGTCTTCAGGCCTATGTGACCTTCACCGTCGGCCGCTAGAATTCCCCCCCCAGACGGCTGCTGGTTTCGACTTAGTTATACCTACTACAGCTAGGGTCGATATTCTGCCATCGTCTGAACTCATATTCTATAACCTGCGGTCAGACTCAGAGGCAGCAGTTGTTTCTCCTGAAGCCGCTGCGGATGGACGAAATCGTTAAGGCAGTAGTGCCGTAGCGAACTCGGACCGAAGGATCGCGAGTTCGAGTTCCGCCTCGGGCCTGGTTGTATTAGTGTTCGCCCTTTCACCCCCTATCATGTCATCTTTACCGTTACCGTACCATTAAATGTAATAGTGGTCGCTAATGACCTAGATGTTGATGCGATCTTAAATAAACAAATTGTTGCCCTGAGGCATCTCAGCCGGTAAAATACATTTCTGTTTTAGGCGCATAATAATAATATTTAAAACCCATCTTTGAGGGAAATTTTATCGTGGGAATTTTGAAAATCTCTGAAATGGAGATACACGGGTTTGGGGAGAATTACTCGCAATATTTTGCAGCATCCCTGCTCCGCTTCATTGATAGTGACGCTTGGTTATTTTCGATACCAACAAGTCTTGCCGAAGCCTCCTCTTTCCTTACAGATGTATACGGATTGCATCCCGCGGTCTACTTCCTCTAAAACTACCTCCCCAAAAAGACATAGCGCAACTGCATCCCATTCGGTTTTCCTCCTTAGTGTAAGGATTGATTTCTACGTTTACCTTGGCCTGCTTGGAGTTATATTGTTCGGTTATAATTAAGCCACTTCTTTTTTTATGAAACATTTGCACGTTCTTCCAGACCACTGCCAACGTCGAAAAACACACTTAAAAATTGTGGAAACAAAACTTAAAATATATCAGGAGCATCTTTTTACCTCCTAACGTAACTAACACATTTCCGAAGATTCCGCGTTGTTCATCTGTGATCGAGGTTTTATCTGGGGTGTTGTGAGAACATCTATTTGCGCCACCTATGAGTGGAATCTTTTAAAAAACTAGTGGTGCTAAAAAAAGCACATACTTTCACGTAAAATTCCGCGAAAAGTACTCAAATATTCAAAAAAGTACTCAAATTGTCCATGACCTTATTTCAAAATGTATCTATTAGGAACAGATTTCATCAAGGAAAAATTCTCTATCTTCATAATTGTAGATGTAAGAAGAGGCCGAAAATCTTAAAAAAAACTGTGTTCAACGAACATAATACCTGCACTATTTTCTTAAACGTCATTCACACTATCCAACAACAAAATTTTATCAAAAAACGAGTTCTTTTTTAAAAGAATTAAAAAGTGTAAAGTACCCCCCCCCCAATTAAAATATTGGATTCAAAGAAAATTATATGTTAAATACAAGCCAAAATTAAAACATCGGTTTCAAATTCAAGGGACCGGGACATCAGCCACATCGATTGAGGAATATCAATTTTGGTGAAAATCGGCTGAACGGTTTAGCCACTAGCGTTGTTCACAGACGGACAGACAAACGTTTTGCCGTCATTCTAGTTTTCAGCATCAAGGAACCACAAAACAAATATTCTGGTTACACCACGTGTTAGAGCCCCCCCCCCCTAAACTTAGCAACTGGATTTATCCACCTTTTCGTTACCAGGGCCACGATAAGAGTTTTTCTGCGGAAAATTCGCCGTTTTTTCGAGCAGCATTTCAAAACTTTCTCTCTACTCCCAGCGAGAGTAAAAAAATGTGACTCCTTCCCAAACATCGGATGAACGAAACAGGATGCAGTCGGGCTATATCTTCTCAGTGTGTCTTTCTGAAAAGTGAAACGGGACTAGCTGGAAAGTGGTGGTGAGGGAAAACAGGCCGCGGGATGCAGTCGGGCTATTCCCCTTCCTTCCGCTCGCGACCGCGGCCTCAACCCATTCGCGGCGTCCGTTGCGCAGCACAGATCCCACGGCGGCGCCCGTGATCAAGGCGGGCTACCTGGAGGCGCCGGAGGACCGCGCGACGCTGATGGAGGCGATGCAGCTGGCGCAGCGGCGGCTGGCGGGGGCGGGGCCGCTGCGCGACGCCGGCGCGCGCCTTCAGCAGACGCCGCTGGAGGGCTGCGAGCGCTTCCTGTGGGGGTCGGCGGAGTACTGGAGCTGCGCGGCGGCGCAGCACACGGCGCCGGGCCACGCGGCCGCGGGCACCTGCCGCATGGGCCGCGCGGGCGACCCGCGCGCCGTGGTGGACGCGCGGCTGCGAGTGCAGGGCACCCGCGGGCTGCGCGTCGCCGACGCCTCCGTGCTGCCGCACCCCGTCGCGGGTCGCCTGCGCGCGCTCTGCCTCGCCGTGGGCGAGCGCGCCGCCGACCTGCTCAAGACGGAACACCTGCCGGCCGGGGCGACGCACGCGCAGCCCGTCTGCTCGTGCGCTGCCCCCTAGCACGCGCCACGCAGGTCACGCCCTCTAACGCACGGCCGTTCTGCTCCGCTATTCTTCCCTTCCCTCTTCTCTCGTTTCTTTAGCTTCTTCTTTCGTTTCTTTTTCTTCTTTTGTTTCTTTTCCTTTTTTGTTTCTTTTTCTTCTTCTTTCGTTTCGTTAGCTTCTTCTTCCCTTTATTTTCTTCTTCTTCTTCTTTGCCTCCTTCCTCTTACCCCTTACCACCCTCTTAACCCTTCCTTACCTCCCTCGTTGTCACTAGTTCTTTCTTAATAAACCGTGCAAATTAAATGGATATTGTACATGCAGATAAAAAGTAAAAGTGGTCATACATGGACTAGTATGTTCTTATATTATGTTTCACATTTACAATAACACAAAGTTAACATTTTATGCGAAGTAAACCTGAAACTATCTTCTTTTGAATCTGTGAATTGACGTTTTGGGGTTAATTAGCCCTACAAATTTCAAATTGTCATAAAAATTGAGCAAGCAACTTAAAAGAAAAGCCAACCAAAAGTGGATACTTTGATACGTGAAATCTCAAACCGGTGATCGACGCTGGCGGTACCAGAAGTTCTCCTTTCCTCATTATTTGACAGCATCTCCGAAGAAATTGACGTTTTTTGACAGATCAGTACGACAAACGTAGATAATCTTGGTAGTGATCGGGAATGACAAATTGTCCAAGATGTCATGCATGCCACAGAAAAGAATTGCATTTTGTCTATACTCTAGCTGCGACACTTCGAGATGAACCACTTACTCGCAAACCTCTCAAAGCTGTATTAATTGAGATTTATTTAATAATAATAAGAAGAAGAATAACAACAATGCCGATCCGATCGTTAAGCGATCCGATATCGCTAAGGCAGTAGTGCGGTGGCGGTTTCGAACCAAAGGAACGTGGGTTCGAATCCCTCCTCGGGCATTGTTGTGTTGTTGACTCTGTATGTTTGCGTGTGTCTATTTCATAATAATAATAATAATAATAATAATAATAATAATAATAATAATAGTTATTAATGAAGTAAGATTGAGTGCATTATCAAAACTTGCATCTACGATGATGACCAGGTCTAGGATTCTGAATATCTAAAAATTGCTTGAAAATGACCTATAAAAAGACTTAAAAATAAGAGGAACATAACCTAAACAATTTAAAAATTAGGGGGAAACTATCTCATTTTTTTAATATGCCGAAAAATTTGTACAAAATTTTTTACTTATTCAATAAATTTTACCATTTCAAATAAAATTTATTTATGTAAAATTGTTTAATATAAAGTCTTCATTTTAGGAGGAAATGTAATCCCTAGCTCCGATCTTCCAAACGTCAGTTTTGAAAGGTCAAGGGAGTTACCGGATATCTGTGTAATTTTCAGAGTTCGAAAAACAGTCCATTGCAGTGGTTAATATTGTCATGAACTGATACAGTAAAAACTTTTTTTAGTGAGTCCTTGTAAAAACATGCATTAGCAAAAAACACGAAAAAATGCGTAAAATGGCGCAAAGGTCCGAGAAAGAACTCAAAATTGAAAAATGGCAAAAAATGACAAAAAAGACCCAATAACGACACATTTCTATCACCTATATATCATACTAAACATTCATTTGCAAGTTAGCTACGGTGACAATGCACCAATGAAAAGATGACGTATCATCAGAATCCGACTCATAATGATTACAATTTTTATTTTATTTACTATTTATTTATGTCCATTAATATTTTACATACACGTCTTAATTAAAATAGTCATATTTCTAGTTAGCTTCAAACAGCTTTTTATGTACTCACAAATGAATGTCTTCATTATAGACAATTATGGAATTAATGCCACAATACAAGAATTACAGCACTAGTGCTATAATTCTTCTTATGGCATCCATATAACTAGGCTACACAAACATTATCGGCCATGCACAGATATAATATTTTGTAAAAATTCTAATGTTAGAAACCGTAATCCTTCCGTTCTCAGCGTCAGTAATCATTCAGAGTAATTTAAATAATGATGTAAGTTAGCTTACTTTGCAAGACATAAGCAAAAAATCTTCCATATAACCCTTAATCATTTTTTTCATTCTAAAACTTGTGAGCGTCTGAAATGGTGATTTGTTAAACATTGTTTATCAAGCATGTCAAGGTCGCGGGCAAGGTAACTAGCGTACTGGAGTTCGTGGGCACTGCTTCCGAAGCAACTGGCGCGAGATTCAAAAGTAGGCGTTTTACAATGCTCCGAAGGGGTGATATCCCCTACTAAAGCAAAGAAATTATCCATTAAATTAAAATAAAAAATCAGTCAGACTTCAAATTGTCATTTGATCGGAAGAATCTTGATTTCGTAATCAGTTTTCTTGACAATGCACTAACAAGGGAATGCCGCGATGTGACATGTCGAAACATGCCCTCATATTTTTTTCATTGAATTTACATGCCCTTCTGATACCACGGTGTCAATTTTGGCTGACGATACATACTGCGAATTACTTTAAAATTTTCCAAATTCGCCAACATTTTCGTACTATTTTTTGTACTTGGACAGTCCTTGCAAGCCGAGCGGCGAATGCGCAGAAACCGAGGTTGGCGCAGGCCATTCACAGTACACTCAATACTTTTCTTATTGTAAAAGTCCATTTTATTTGAGATATTTTATTTCCTTACCAATGAATTGTTACTTTTTTCATTATGAATATCGTTAATATGCATAATTATTAAATATTGAAAACGTATATCATATAACTACTGTATCACTTTATATTTAAATTATGTAAAGAAGAGATATAAGAGTTGTTTTGTGAATCAAATTCACATGTTACCGCTTTTTTTTTTGTTCGCGAAAATTACCGTTCTTTAATTTGTCCCTATTTGTGTCGATCAATTTTCTCATTCGCAAATTCCGAAAGACAACTTTACCGCACTTTTCCAGTTTGCTTTCGCGTGAGAATACACAACTGATCTGCTTCGCAGTAGACTCAGACAAGACCTCTCAATTCGTGAGGAAAGAGCTCCAGGGGAGGTAGCTCATGTTGGATGGAAGATGAGCGGTCGCGGTTAAGTTTATCGCGACGAAATGTATTTCATTAAAAAATGAACAATAGATACAACTAAAATTCGGAAAAACGTGTTTTAGTAGTTAAGACTATGTATAGATAATATTAGTGTTATTAGTTTTATTATTTTAGCTGCAAGGAGGGGCAGCTGCCTCCCCGCCTGTTCCTCGCAGGAAACGACTTTGGAAACAGAGTCTGCCGCTTGCGGCGAGCAATGGCGTTGAATCACAAGCGAGTGTGCTGGTTAACACCTGCTTTGCAGGGTTGGCCATTTTTACATCGGTGAAAGCATAGGGCAAATTGCAAATTCAGGATGTTTTTTAATTGACTTGCAGTGTGTATTGGCATGTGTATATAAAAGGGCAATTCAAGGCGAACAAAACCATATAGAATTTTCTTCTGATTTTTGGAGTGGAGGGGGGGGGGCGGCGACAAGACATTTTTTCTTTCTGCCAATTTTTCTACTTCATGTTGATACAACTTGCCATCACTAGGGAGCGCAACTACCATAGTCTCACATTTTTTAAACGAGTACACATTTCTACACGAAGTCCACATTTCCACCTCTATATATCGTCCTTTCTTGGTACTGGAAATTCAAAATAAAGCATTTTACTATTAATTTTGGTTTACTTGCAATGAATATGATAAAATGTATTGTCTTCCACAATGGATAATACACTGTAACACATTAACCATACACACTTCAATTTTGAAAGCCAAAGTTGGGCAGTATATATATTTAAAATACGTATTTTCGATTCTTTTGTATCGAAAATACATATTTGATCATGCATTTTGTATTTGTATCGAAAAGACATTCTGATGGTATTTGTATTTTCAAAATACAAAAAAACGTTTTATTGTACTGCCGTTGAAAATTTGAATTTAAATATACATACAAACCTGAAAATCACAAACGACGATAACACGATTTTTTTATCTTTCGAAGCAATTTTTCATTCCCTGCATCAGTATTTAAAAGAATGTTTTTGATAACTCAAAATTTTGGTTAATCAAAGGAAATATATTTCCGGAGACACTTAGTGATATCGATTAAGGGATTTTGGAGACTTCACAGACGTTATATTATATTGCCACATTATGCATCACCACCTGTCTGGAAGGTGGTTGTGCGCACTGGTTAAAAGCTTGTACTCGCGCCGTGTAAGATAATCTTACGATATGAGTGTGGACATTGATACATCTTTAAAATGTGAAATTCTAGATGGAAGTTTTCATTGTCATTGAAGAGTTAGGTGGAAAAGTGAAAACGTCATGTGAAAATTGTAAACCTGTTTAATAGACACTAATAAGTGGTTCCTACAATGCGACGACAAATATTAACTCACACTTCAAGTTAGAATAATAAGCAGTAATTTGTATTATACTACATTTTAAAATGCACACAAGATGTTCAATGGACTATGTATTTCGCTGGTCATTTTTTTTACTAAGGAACTGTTAATTTCTTTATACATTTCCGAGACTTCCTCTTGATGTTATGAGTAAATTTGAGAACTATAAAAAGTGAGTGGTCCAGAAGATCAATTTAGGAGGAAAATGAAAAGCACTGACAATAGTGAAGCCAATGCCAAGAACTAACAACAAACAAGCTAAACATCTGTTATCTTCAATACGTTGAAAAAGAAAATTATCACAAAACATTTTATGATATTGTTACAAAATTCGATATTGATGGAATGAAACCCTTCTCAATTACATCTACAAGAAAAAAACATTAGTGATACAATCTTTGAAATCTAGAAGTTTGGAAGGGAAATGTGTCCAATTTTATAGAAGGGTAAACCACAACCAAGTTTTGAGATAAGGATTGTGAAACTGGATCACTATTGGTTGTATTTTATACTTAAAATACTATTATGTATTTTGTATCTAAAATGCTTTTATGGAAGCATTTGTGTATTTTGAATTTGAAATACTTTTTTCGAGTTATTTGGCCAACTCTGTTGAAAACTCAAGTACAGCATTAATGTGATCTTAATTTGATTTTTTATATATTATTTTTATTCAGATTTTTTAAATATTTAATTAATATTTCTTTTAGTTTCTAAAGAAAATAAACTAACCAAATATCAAGAATTACTCTGATTGTAATTAATATAGTGACATTAATTGTACGTATCTCTCGAAGATAATTTTTTTTAAACTTAAAATTCACAAAATAATATCAGCTGCAGTAAAGAAGTTTATTTAGTTTAGTTTTGTGTTCTTAACCGAGTTAGGTTAGAACACGAATATACGAATAAATTAAGTGTTGTCTCCTAAACATATTTACTAGTTAGACATAATGCCCATTTAAATGAAATGCGTAATGTTTCAAACAACGTTAAAGACATTCTCTGATTATATTTTACGAATTGTAACAACTTAATGTAAGAGGAGTTAAGGCAAAGAATGACTGTATAGCATTATTAATACGAAGTATAAACAACAAGCCATAGATGTGAGAGCGTAGGCTTCCGCGGCCGGAGTCAGTATTTACTTGGCTGTCCGGGTGACGCCGCGTCCATGACGAAGGTGCCGACGTTTCGGTCGCCATTCTGCGACCTTCCTCAGGGCGTAATGCCGGCACCTTCGCCATGGACAAGGCGTCTCCCGGTCAGCCAAGTAAATAAGCCATAGATGTACTTACTTTTGATGCATGGATAAACGGTGGCCATACTGTATACACTTGCAAACACTGCCACATGAAACAAAGTTAATTGATTTATTTTTATAACTTTTATCTGAAGATGTACGGAACGCACCGTTCAAACACACTGAGAACTAGTCCGGCTTCAAGAATACGCAAGTTGCCGTTTTGCTTTGGGCTAGACCTTGTTGAAGGACGTCATGGTTCTGGACATCTCTGGAAGCTTACGTATACATCTGGACATCTCTACTGAGGATCTTCTGTCACGCATGCAGCACTTCGAATTATGGAGAATAATTTTTACAAGAAATGTCTTAGTAGTTATTTATGCACCAAAGGGCGTAATACGCGCTCTAAAGATCTAACGGCGACAAAAGCCCTAGGGCTTTCAGAACCTGTAGATCATCAGAACCAGTTAACGCCCGTGATACATTATTATTTTTTAACTAATTTTATTGATTCGGTTTTATTTATTTACTAATTTATTAGATGTTAACTTCACTCGGTTTATCTTTTCAAATTTTCCTCCCATTCATATTTATTCCCTTTCATAATTACTTTAATAAGAGAACATACAGTATCTCTCAATTGTTTTCATATTTTTCTTGTAATCACGATACTCTCCATTCAGGTAAGTTATGCAATGTATATCGAACTTCGTGTCGAAGACAATAACAATCAGAAAAATATCAGTAAAAAATAAACAAGGATGCAGAACAATAGGCTTTCAGTTCAGAATCTAGTGTACAATAGCATTACAGTTATGCATCCAGCTATAATGTTGAGATCACTGGCGTTACACTGCATGAACAAATGTCAAATCTCACTGCACACGCATTACTCATTGTCTATTTTGGAATCCGTTGCATTCGTGGCTGCCCTACACGCGTGTGGGGAAAAACTGTTGCGGAGCGATGACACTGCCTTGCACAAGAGCAGATTTCAGCGCAAGGAATGGAAAAGTTTATTGTCTGTTAAAACAGCTGTCCGTCCGTAAACAAGAAACTTGCTAACTTATTTCACATTATTGCTACATAACACAATAACTGAAAGATTTCATAAAATATAACACAAAACGAAAACAAGGAAAGAATTCGTCATACAAACACATTTCCTATCACTTGGAAAAAATTTTTCTACGAGGCATAATTTAAAAAAAATGACATGAAATAGTAATAAATAGTAAAGAATATAAACAATATAAATCTCGGTTGTTTGATAGACACAGGCCTTCCAATATCGCGTCCGAAGTTAAGAATGAAGTTCAGGGCCTTATGGTCTTTCCCCGTAAATAAACAACCCCCCATCGTTTTTAAATTTAAAACTGTTTTAAATCCTTATTAATATAATTTTCATAACAACAATTACATTAGTACGATAATAATATGAATACATTATATATTTACCACAAACTTGGTGAATATCTTCAGAAAGAATTATTTTTTGTAAGGAAGGCTATGTTCGGCTGAGCCACGTGCTTCTATTGGCGTATTATACTGTGCTCAGAAAGTTCGCGTTTCTGTTGTTTACCTGTGTTTGTTCGCCTATCTTTGGTTGTGTTTTGTTTTTGAGATTTATTGTTTTAATAACGTCAAAGTTAAAATTAATTCCGTTTAATTATCTTCATTTTGGTTTTTAGGTTGTGGTAATTTTATTACTTTAAAGTTTTTTGAATTAACTTCCTTTTTCTTTGCACACTTAATTTAGAGTGTGTTATCCACCAACCGTAAAGCGCAAGAGTAAAGTGCTCCATAGGGGGAAACAAATGACTATTAACGGTTATAACTATTTAATTATTATTTAATTATAATCGGTCTCCTGTGAATCAAATCAGTTTGTTCGAGTGGCTCCGACGTATTTTGTCGTCATAGAAATTTTAAATATTTTGTTCGGCAATCATAATTATTTTTTTATTTTTTATTTATTTATTAATTTATTTATTTATTAGTTAGATATTGTTTCTCTACTGTCAAAAAGCAAACAGGAGTCTTCGCCGTTTTGCAACCGCATGTACTTGGCTTGAATTTTGGATATTGTATTAATATAGTGGTGCACTTTAAAATTAATATTTCCTCCCCATTTCTTAAGATATTTTGAAGCACGAAGGACGTGAAAAACGTAACAGAAACGTTTCTTGTGTATCGGAGTCTCATAGGAATAGTTCTAGGTTCCAGGAAACTTTCATAAAATTGGAAAGGTTCGTGACTAACCACGTTAGCGCTAAACCAGTGCTCCGGCCCAAATGCGGGATTCGTCGTCACGTAACTTTCGATTCATACAGTAGAGTAGAAAAGCGCCGCGTTTGGCATCACTGTCGCCATAAGATACCGTACTTCATTCTTAACCTCGGACGCGCCATAGGTATTCAGGCGCCCATGGCAAGCATACAGTTTGCGCCCCTGTCAGGATACTTGAATTAGGGTTGCTGTTATTTTTCAGCGGATGCACTATAAATAGTGCCCATTGTGATTGGCACCCATGATACGTGCCATGTCTGCCACACCGTAGATACGCGTCTGTTGATGCAAATGAACAAATGTTGCAATCATATTTTTGTATGAAGCCACTATTCCCCACCTCGTACCGCTTCAGATTGCGTGTGTACACCCCTTTATGGATTTGGAGACGAAATGCGAGCAAATTGATGGGAAGTTTTCCAGGGCCGGTTCACTCAATGTTAAAAGGCGGGGGACTAAGTTTGTTTCCTCAGTCCCGGACCTGGTG